TCCCCCGGAACATGGGCCTGGGTTGTGCTGGGAGGGAGGCACCAGGGGACCACAGAGGGTCTCTGGGGCCTGTGTCTTGGGGCAGGGAGGGGACAAGGCCAGGCTGAATCCGGACAAAGGACCAAGGAAGCTTCCCCGGAGGAAGCAGAGGGGAGCTAGCCCTGAAGGAAGGGCACAGGAGGGGTAGCCCGAGGTGCGCCCTCTTTTCTGGATGTGGCTTTGGGGTGAGATGCCATGGTCCCAGGTCCCAGGACAGGTCCTAGAGGACAGCCCCCTCCCCACTCCGCCTGCTGGACCCCCACAGCCTGGCCCAGGAGCTGGGGGGCCTGGGGCCTGCTCACCATTGCCCAGCGGGAGGCACTGCGGCTCTGAGGCGCTCTCCTGCTTCTTCACGTGCTTGGCCTTCACCTGGGAGCCTGCGGGGGGAGCTGCGGCAGCAGCGGGCCCTGCCCTCCACTCAGGGCCCAGGGGGCGGGCAGGGTGAAGAGCTCCGGCGAGAGGGGGTGGTCTTCCGACTCCCAGGGGTCCCCTGGCTTTACAGGGCTCTGGCGTTCACATCAGTGAAAAGGAAGTGCCACCCACCTGCCTACTTCATGAGCACGGGGCCACCTGCCCCGAAAGGACCCCTGCTGCCCCCCAGGCTGGCTTCTGTGATCAGGTGGGACAGATGCTCCCAGAGCCGCTGGGGAGAAGGTGTGGTGGGGACTGGGGTGCCCGCCTCTCAGGGGATCTATGGCCAGAACTGCTCTTCGAACTGCGTACCTGGGCTGGAGGTGCGTCTGGGGGACAGGGCTGCTGGCGGGGCAGCCCGAGGCTCCTCCAGGGCCTTCCTCTTGGTGGGGGGTCTGGGCAGCGGTGCTGGGGCTTTGGGGCCGGCCGGGGGCTTCCTCCCTTTCCGGGGCTGGCTGAGGTCCACATCTGCAGGGCATGGGCAGAGGCGGGGCCAGGCCTCAAGCCCAGAGCTGACCTCTGGGCACAGTGAGCAAGGCCTGGGCCTCTGCCTCCTAGAACTCAGGGTTGCCCTGGGTGAGGTCCAGAGTCTCCCTGACACTCCCCCCACCCCCCTACTTCTTCCCACTTACAGTCCCACTGGGGCTCAGTGACAGGGCTCCAGGCCCTCAGCCCCCAGCAGGGAGGCTGGCCCGCAGGGGACCCGGCCCCCGCCCCCAGCCAGGCCCCACCTTTGGGGAAGCTGTCCAGGATGGGCTGCAGCCGGGCGTATCTCTCCAGGTTGTAGTCCTTGAAGAGGACCCTCCAGAAGTCCAGGATGGCGGCGGAGTCTTGGGTCAGGAGCCAGGAGAGGAGCGCGTGGAAGGCCTGCGGGCAGCCCTCCTTCTCCTTCAGGCGCAGCGTCTCCTGAAGCGAGACCGGGGCATGGGGGGCCCTTCTGCGCCTCCCCAGTCCCCCCTCCTCCCGCCTCCACTGTGGGACTCGAGGGCAGATGCCAACCCAGGGGAGGCTGCTGGAGACCTGGGCACCATGTCTATTTCCTGGCTTGGGGCTGGCTTGAGGATGGCATGGGGTGCTGGGGTGAGGGGGGCTACTTGGAAGTCATCTTAGGGGACCATGCCCCTGGCTTGGGAGGTTTGGGAGGGGATTTGGAGATCTGCGTTGGGGGCACATCTGGAATTTGCCCTGGAGACCGACCCCCAGGCTGGGGCTTGGAGAGGGCTAGGCCTAGGGCATTGGGGGCAGGGCCAACCTCA